GAAAATGTCTACAGACAATATGCTACCCTCATTAACCAATCTTTTGAGCGTAATGAACATGTTCCATCTTTTACATATTTGGCCACTCAACCTCACATGCACTCCACAAATCATTTCATTCAATCACAACATCAACATCCAGTGGTAATCATGTTCTAGGAATCTTTATTGACCTAAGCAAAGCTTTTGATACTCTTGACCATGGCATTCTCCTGAGGAAACTGGAAAATTATGGGGTTAGAGGTCTAGCTCTAGGACTTCTAAAAAGCTATTTATCCGATAGATCACAGTATGTTTCATTTCTCAACACTACATCAGAGACTATGAATGTAAAATATGGAGTTCCCCAAGGTTCCATACTAGGCCCTCTACTTTTCTTATTATATATGAACGACATAATAAACTGTTACAAAGGCGATGAATGCAAATTTGTGCTCTATGCTGATGACACAAATATATTTATCACTGGACCGTCCAAAGAAGCAACATACTTGAAGGCCAATAAAGTTCTTGATTTCGTATGCAAATTCATGAGAAGTAATCTCTTACATATAAATATGTCTAAATGCTGCTACATACATTTTCTACCTGCATACGAATCTGATGAAACCTGCGCCAGGGTTAGGCCGTATGCCAATGAACATGACAAATCACAAGGAATATTTATAAATGGACACAAAATTGTCAAGGTTAGCAACACCAAATTTCTTGGTGTAGTAATTGATGAAAAACTTAGCTGGGGCCCACATATAGAATATCTAAGAAAAAAAATTAGATCCACTACAGGAGCACTTAACAGGATTAAACATTCAGTTCCAGGGGAACACTACCAAAAAATATACTCTGCATTATTGGAATCACATCTTGCTTACGGAATAAGTGTTTGGGGCTCAGCTCTCAAAGACCAACCAAACGATAAGCTGTTCATAACTCAGAAACGTTGTATAAGAATCCTTTTCGGAGACCTAAATGCATACCTTGACAAACATGCCACTTGTGCACGAGCCAGACCTTATACTAAACAGAGGTTAGGAGCTGCTTTTTTCGAAAAAGAGCACACCAAGCCCATTTTTAATCGACTAAAATTGCTTACTGTTCAAAACTTGTACAAATACCACTGTATATCTGAGATATTTCGAATTATGAAATTTCGCACTCCATACTCGTTGTATTGTACTATAGACTCATCAAAACGTGATACAAGCAATGTCATAATCCTCCCAAGAAAAACCAACACTTTTCTTTATATAGCCTCCAAATTGTGGAATAGCATACATAAACGGATTATAAATGAGAATGGGGAAATCCTTACTACTTCTGTATCTTTGGTTAAATTACGCTGTAAAAGTATCATCCTGGGATCTCAATCCATCAACAATAATAACACCTGGACTTACCACAACTTTCACATCGCCCCTCACTCAATCACAGACCAAACCATTTCATCACTCACTCACCAAATTGCCGACCCAATATCTATTGAAGTGGCGAACATTTTCTAGACAAATGATATTTCGATATTATTGCTGCAACAGATACAAATACCAACATTATTATATTCCCAAACGTTTGAACCTTTAAATTAACTAGGAAAGTCAATCCTCAACTTGACTTTTACTGTTTTAAACAGATATGATGGTATTAACTTAATTTATTATTATTATTATTTTTTTTTTTTTTACATACTCCTTCTTAGTGTGGTGACTTGGGGTCCATAAATATAACAATACAAGCTGATAAACCAAAAAGAACAACTGGGGTAGGTAGGTAGCCCTGGTGGGTGCGTAAACTTTACGGTCTGCTCTCTCCAAGATCAGCCTGCTTCTCCATTTTACCGTGAAGCCTAATTTCTAATTTTTATAAAATATACAATGCAAGTGCAGGTTTACTAATCTTAATCTACTTAACAACTCAATAGCCCAAGTCACCATACCCGTAGTATATTCCATGGTAATAGAAGAGCTTTAAAGTTTTTCAAATTGTTGCTATAATTGATTTAAATAAAAATTTGTTGTTTTCTTGAAAAATTTGTTGTTTTCTTGATTTGGCACCACTGCAAAAGCCTGGCAAACCCAAAGGCCCAGTTAAGAGTCTCAGGCCCCTATGTCTACTCAACGGTACTAAGAAGCTCTTGTCCCTTATAACACTTCACAGGGTCAGGAGACAGATAGCTGAGTATACTGGACCCTGGAAAAATGCGTACAAGGCAGGTCACAGTTGTGCAAATATTGTATGGAGTATGGACCCAACACCTGCTTATATCTGTAGTGAAGGAGAAAAAACCAAGCTCAGAATTAAGACTGACGAAACTATCTCTCTGGAGTTTGAAACCTCCAACCGATCTTTCCAAGGTGATGCAGCTTCAAGGGCATTTTTTACTCAATACTTTGCTGGCGCTCTGTACCACCTAAGAGTAGTGTTATCATTTCACTACCTGCGTCCAAACCCTCCTTTTGATCCAGACTCTCTCTTGCCAATAAAATGGGAGTATGCAGATGATGCAGATTTTGGTGATGAAGACGAAGAAAATTTGCGTGAGATGCTGCCTATTTGGAGAGAGATTTTGGCTGAATGGGATCTACTGAATTTTTCCGTTTCTATATAGCAGACAAAACAGATGTCGACGAGAAAGGAGAGCCATTCAGAGGTAGAGAGCCATGGAGGAAGAGTGTGTCACTGGGATCCAGGCTTTGCAGCAAATCTGACATACTTCACCGCTGTATCCTAGCTAATGTTGCTTTCGAAAAGTACAACAAAGTTTGGCTGGAAAAGTCCCGAATTTCACTGGACACCAAAGTGAAGTTATACGAGGCCCTTGTTACCCCAGTACTGCTGTACAACTGCAATAGCTGGGCCGCTCCAGAGAAAATCCTTCAGAAAGTGGATGTGTGTCAGCACAAACATTTGAGGCGGATCATGAACTCCACTTATCCCCGAATCATCAGTAACCGAGACCTTTATGCTCGTTGTGGGATGACTCCATTAACAGATTTTCGCTGGAAAATGCTCGGTCATATCCTTAAAAGTGATTGTACCTCCCCACCCCAACTAGCATTGAGTTTTACTGTTGAGAGTATGGAGAATATGAGAGGGAGAATTGGTAGACATCGGATCAGTATTTTCAAAACCATTTTGAGTGATTTAAATAAAAGAAATATGAATTTATGTAATTTGACAGATTTGACAGAACTTCGACTAATAGCCTCGAACAGAAACCATTGGAGAAACTTGTTTAGTTTTTGATACTTTAATTTTTGTGGGTTAAATATATTTAAGTTTAATTTCAGAGTTCTCAGTTCTACACGTAGACTTATTAGATCCTTAGGATGTTATATATTACTACTTCGGATTTGTGTAAAGTTTGATAATAATAGTATAGAGTGAGCAATTGGGAAAGTTAAGTCTACCCAAAAATATAAGTTTACAGCTACGCCAAAAGATTTTTACGCAAAAGCAAATCAATCAGCATGCTTTTTAACGATAGGAACTATTATTATATTTGTTGCTCTAACTAAATCCCTCGCGCTTGCAGTAGCACGGTATGCGCCCGCCGAACTAACGCCGTGAGTGTGCGCGTCATATTGGTCATGCACGCGTGTAGTTCAAGTGTAACGCATTGTAGCGCGATGCGTTACTGTGCCGCGCCGCGCGCGCACTCAATTATGCTTCTCGTTAGATCGGTGAAATGCGCTACTGTGCCTCGCCGAGCTGCGATGAATTAACATCGTCAATTAATGTAACGCGAAGACTTATGGTTATGTGAATTTTGACGGATGTTACTCGTCTAAATTTCTTCGAAGTAGCGCGCGCCGCGCCGCTTTCTTCTCAAAAATCCGATGGCCAGTGCTACGAAGTAGCGCGCGCCGGGCCAGACCATTAACAATGATCAAATTATGTGAACCATATCTGTATTGTAGGTTAAGTGCAGATAAAGCAAATTGATGACATAAAAGCAAATGCCGCACTTACCTAGCTTGCAGTTAGTATATTGCTCGTTAATTTGCGATGTCAATTCTTCGCAGCTCGGCGAAGCTAAGTAGCGTATATTCGCGATCTCGCCGATCTAGCTGCTAGCGAGAAGCATAATTGAGTGCGTGGCGCGGCACAGTAACGGCTAACGCATCACGCTACAAATTGCTCGCTTCTCTCACATAATATAATTTGTATATTGCTCTAACCATTCAAGTTTTCTTGAATGACCAAGGCCAATTAATGAGTCCACGCGCACGTACTGTGGCGTGGATGGCAAAAGACCTAATTGAGGTATACTGCAACCTAAATTATCAAAGAAAGCTTTGATAAACGAGCATGGAAATTATTACCTGGGGACCTCAGTAAGGAAATTATCGCAATAGAAGAACATTTTGGATGATTTTTGAATAAAAATAAAAGCGATTCTGCCGTTCCTTGATCGAAATTTTTCAGTTTTGACAGAATGTTTAAGTTTAACCAGTGACCAATCAGTGGGTCAATACTACCGGTAAGACATGTTCAAATTTCAGCTTTTTTTAAATCAAAGAATGCTTTGATTAACGAACAATTCACAATTATCACATGGAAGGAAATTTTTATTTTGAAGATTTTTCTGCTGTTTCCTCGACCAAAAGTTCACAGTTTTGACTGGATTTTTGGCCATGAGTGACCAATCATTGAGCTTAGGTCTGTACATGTATGAGGGAAACAAGTCACTTCTTTCTCCCTCGTATAATATTCTTTATCCGTGCAACAACAAAGAAACGAACAGCCATTAACAAGTACAGTAATATCCGTAACGTGTGGACTGTGTCATCGTCAATCTTGATAGATCTATATATAGAATAGTTATTCAGAAGTTAAATCTGCCCCGTAAAATTATTGTCTGCATTTTAATCGTTCATTATTCACATTTTCGTGAAGATTCCAGCACTTAATGACATTTGGCCATTTTATGTTAATTTTACGTTTTTTGTTTTTGAAGAAAAGCGTGACACTCTTTACTGATCTGAACTATAATGAATCAAAAGTAACTATTCAAGCAACGTCGTACAATGTACATACTGCATCATTAACCTTATATATTAGCAACAATCAATCATAAATCATTTGCTTTTTCTTCGAATGAAATGAAAAACAATAAAAGATATTTGCAAACAGAACGATGAAATAGTTTCGCTATTTTCAGTGTTGTCTTTATAAAAATAAACTTCAATATGACTATATTTTGACACTGTTCTGTAGTTATTTATATAATAGTGTTTAAATATATAAGTACATCGCCGTTCACTCGAATCCAGTTTTCAGTTAGAGCATTCGCATCCAACTCCAATTTCTATCTCCTGTCTCTTCCATAGGTCGAAATACTCCGTTTTGCCACTGTCGTCCACGTGCTCAAGTACATAGCGGTCCTCGCGTTTTAAAACATGCTTCACTATTGTCGTCTGAAAAGGTATAGAGGTATATAACTGTAAAACAATAAAATTCACATTTTGCATCCTCGTTTATATATTGATATAATGCCTAAAATTGAGAACTAAATGTTTGAAAGCATCGAAAATTATGGCAGAGTGAGCAGCACAGATTGTCTTACGTAAGAAAAATTTAATGAGCGAATGATATCTACGAGCTTAATGATTTATTATTATAAAAACTATGACTGTAACTGACTGCAAGTGACTGTGACTGTGACTGTGACTGTGACTGTGACTGTGACTGTGACTGTGACTGTGACTGTGACTGTGACTGTGACTGTGACTGTGACTGTGACTGTGACTGTGACTGTGACTGTGACGGACTGTGACTGTGACTGTGACTGTGACTGTGACTGTGACTGTGACTGGACTGTGACTGTGACTGTGACTGTGACTGTGACTGTGACTGTGACTGTGACTGTGACTGTGACTGTGACTGTGACTGTGACTGTGACTGTGACTGTGACTGTGACTGTGACTGAATGTACCTTGACGCAAGAGAAAGATCCGTCCGAGGGTTTGCAAGTATATCCAGTGTCCACACAAACAATATTCTTTACATACCTGCCACAATTATGTGAATTAGGTATGCTATCTATAACAAGGAACATCAAGGAGCAAAACTTTCAGGGGGTTAAAAACAAACAATTTGTTATTAAATTATCAAATCGCTAGGGGATCAATAACATGAGCAATCCCCTTCTCAGATAGGTCACAAAACCCAAGCAGTGGGATAGATTAATTTAATTAAAGAATTGTTTAGCTCATCAATTAATATGTCAGTTAATTATATAAAAAATACGAAACCTTGGAAAGTAATCGTCGGAGAGATCCTCAATCACCTCTACGCTTTTACAGGCCTGACCTTCATTTCTCTTAACGGGGTCAAAGTCGTCAGAGTCGTAGATCTTCATGTATTCGGGGCTGAGACCTCCTTCGCCAAGCAACTGGATAGTGGATGAGCAGGGTGTGAGTTAAGAGTTTGTTCTAAAAAACATCTATTTTTCGTAGTTTACGGTCTAGATTTTATCATATCTAGATCAATACTGGTTATATCCATTATCCAATTTGTCGATTCAGTTCCTGATGTATGAAGGTTTCAACATACCATGATCATTGATTAATTAGTCTGCAATTAAATAACGAAAAGTGCACCTAAAGAGATAGATATTATTTCTAATAATGAGCCTTACTTCAAGCAATTCCATGGCATCAAGAGATTTTATCTTCGAATTGTCCACCCTAAACCTAAAAGCAGTCTTGGGTCGGGCAAGTGAAACGTGAAGACAGGAGAGGGATATGATTAGTAGAAATCTAACCGCCGCCATAACTTCTGATAAAGTTAAAACTGTAAAGTTTTATCACTAAAAAAGTGTCAAACTTAATTATGTGAACATAAGTACAGAATGTAGAAATAAGAAAGAAGATCATTTGAATGAAGATATTCAGAAATATATGAAGACATACGCTAGCTGCTACAATATGAGAACACCGATGACAGGAATAAGAAACTGCGTAAAAGTAACTGTGTCCCTGAAGAGCAAGTCCCCGAATTTAAAGGTCCGAGCACCTCTAACCCCAGACTTTGTCACATTCCCCGCCAGATTATCACCTCTTTGCCGGGTTAACTTTAACCAGGAGTGACGAGACTAAGTCGCACTGTTATCCTGTAAAAGGGGGAGGAGTTAGGACTTAGTGTGACACTGACGTGGCAGGAGGGGGGACGTGTGCTCTACTAGCCTATCTAGGATCATGTTCACGTAATAAACCTATTTAAAACACTTGTTTACGCTACACACATGTACCGAATAAAACTACTTAAAAATGAGGTGTAAAATATTCATTCTCTGTAACCATGGCTACGGTTTGACACCTCATTTTGACGAGGACCCGAATTTCACGCTTTGGGAGGTAGCAAATCCAAAAGTTGTGATCAGTGACTTCATCTCAATTTGAAAAGTCGAGATTTGTTGTTTTCTACCGTGGTCATGATAGGGAGCCTAATAGGGAGCCTAATATGTGGCACTACCAGGGATATGGTAATAATGATATCCTATATATTTACAAATAAGAGTAAGTGTAAGCAACTAAGAGCACAAATTGTAAGCATTTCCAAATCTGTTCTGAGCTTGTGGTTGTTGCAGCAATTTTGTTCAATAGTGTAGTCGAAATAATTGTACTTGCGCTTGAACATGTAATTAATCATTATTGTGGATATAACTATATACAGTAGAAATAGAACGGTCTTGAAAATAAAGATTTTAACCCAAACATAATCAAGATCTGTATTTCAAATTTTCGTCGAGAATAACAGAGAATATTCTCTCGGCTAACTAGTAAAGTAGTAAAATATGGCTGGAGAACTAGCAATATCAAACCAGAGGGGCCCCAACATAATCACCTCCACAGTGAACAGTAGAGGTATTCTTACCATACAGGTATTCTCACCAACCAGCTTAATATTAAATTAAATTTTATTAGAATTGAGATTTAGCTAACTTAATTTCTTTGCTATTGTTATATAATTAAATTAAGCCAGACGAAGGCTTCAAACCCCAGAAAACTGGCCATGATCCATGGAATTTCCGCAGTTTGAAGTGGTACTTCTACTACCGGTCCTTCTGATGAGCTGGTGGGTGTTTGGGTACCTAGGAGGCTTGGATTGGAGCTCAGAAAACAGTTACAAGTTCAACTGGCATCCTTTGGCTATGATTACAGCTTTTATTCTGCTCTTAGGAAATGGTATGATATTTTAAACATTGTTAAAGATTGTATATACAGATTTACCTAGCCTTTTTAAAACCCTCCAGCTTAACTCAAACTTCCCTTTTCACCTAAAAATAAGTTCTACAATTTAACATAATATTACGATGGGTACTTTTTACCATCAAAAACTGAAATTCTCATTTCCTATCATCAATCATGCCAGCTGCGGTGGCGTACCGTCTGTTCCCGTTCGAGCGCTCAACTAACAAGAAAATACACGCCATCCTTAACCTGGTGGCGGCGGTGTTAGTTGTGTTCGGGCTGGTAGCTGTTATAGAGTACCACAGTGATTGGGGTTACAATAACTTTTATAGTCTTCATTCTTGGATTGGTCTTGTTACTGCGACCTCATTTATTGCACAGGTATGTAATGGTATGTAATAACTGATTTGTAAATTATTGTTGATTGTATTGACTTTGATTCAAATTATCGAGGTTTATTCAACAGGTGTGTTTTAAGATTCACCGAACCTTACGTTCAGGCACTGTTCTCAGCTGTGGTTTTTCAAGATTTCGACAGTACCAAACTACCTGAGCTCCGGCGAAACTACAAACCTTTTCACATATTTATGGGAGTTTTCCTGCTTTTCAGTGCAATACTTTCTATTGAGACGGGTACTGTGGAGAAAGCGCTTTTTCGGGAGAAATCAGGGTAAGATGATACTTTGCTATGACTAACTATCAGTATTTGGTTTAGTATGCAGTATATAATGCAACATAAAGATGCACAGTAAAAACTTACATTTTCCACCATTCTAATGTCACTATTTAATTGAAACACTGTTCTGGATATGAAATCACTAAATTATTATATATCTAACTCTGCGTTGAGCAGTATAACAACTTAGGGATAACATCTTTAGATCTCTGCGTGCCTAACCAATTTGTGCCTAACATTTGTAACCCTCAGTGACCTAGTGTGGGAAGATTACACAACAGAAGGCCTGCTGATTAACCTGCTCTGCAGCTCTGTGATACTGGTCCTACTCTACCTCCTCTACATCATCTACACCCTGACTCTTGTCCTTGTCAGGGACACTAGACCTCTCTTTCCTTGCTCTGCAGCTCTGTGACACTGGTCCTACTCTACCTCCTCTACATCATCTACACCCTGACTCTTGTCCTTGTCAGGGACACTAGACCTCTCCTTCCTTGCTCTGCAGCTCTGTGATACTGGTCCTACTCTACCTCATCTACATCATCTACACCCTGACTCTTGTCCTTGTCAGGGACACTAGACCTCTCTTTCCTTGCTCTGCTGCTCAGTGATACTGGTCCTACTCTACCTCATATTGATCTACATCATCTACACCCTGACTCTTGTCCTTGTCAGGGACACTAGACCTCTCTTTCCTTGCTCTGCAGCTCTGTGATACTGGTCCTACTCTACCTCCTCTACATCATCTACACCCTGACTCTTGTCCTTGTCAGGGACACTAGACCTCTCTTTCCTTGCTCTGCAGCTCTGTGATACTGGTCCTACTCTACCTCATCTTGATCTACATCATCTACACCCTGACTCTTGTCCTTGTCAGGGACACTAGACCTCTCTTTCCTTGCTCTGCAGCTCTGTGATACTGGTCCTACTCTACCTAATCTACATCATCTACACCCTGACTCTTGTCCTTGTCAGGGACACTAGACCTCTCTTTCCTTGCTCTGCAGCTCTGTGATACTGGTCCTACTCTACCTCCTCTACATCATCTACACCCTGACTCTTGTCCTTGTCAGGGACACTAGACCTCTCTTTCCTTGCTCTGCAGCTCTGTGATACTGGTCCTACTCTACCTCATCTACATCATCTACCCCTGATAGTGGTGACCTGACCTCCTGAACTGCTTTTGAAACACAATTACTTTATCCTCACTGCGACTACAACTAGAAAGAATTGATCGCTACAGATTTGGTGAACAAATCATCCAGTGAAATTTAACATACTGATATCAGTGTGTCATTATCGCATTATCGCTTTGAAGCGAGATCTCTACATTGATTTCACAATTCACTAAAGGCACTGGATTGGGTCTTACTGGTTGAGACTGACATTACGTGAGAAATAGGAGTTGTGATTTGGTCTCAACTCTTTAGATTTAAAAAATTTGTATACAAATGTTTGTAAGAACAAATAAACACCATTATCTGCGATCAAGGCAATTAAAAACTAAAATTAACAGGGTTGAATAAAATCGATCTGAGAAAATGATATTCATGCATATTATATATTATAATTAAATAGTTTGATTCTGCTGAATGGATAGTCGTCGATCAAGGACTAGCTTTTAAAGCTACAAGAACATGCGTTAAATTGATTTTGTCTTTTTAGCTGAGAAGAATCTCGTCCGTTGGGGTTGTCTATCAAGCGAATTCGTTAAATGAAGACCTAGACAGATTTCGTTTTACATTTTAGGATGTAGCCAGTAAACTTTGTGTTTGCCTTTCCTTTGGGTTTCTTGTTCAACCAACATTTGCTGCAAAGAAATTTGTTCAATAAAAAAATTCAATAAAAAAATTCAATAAAAAAATTCAATAAAAAAATTCAATAAAAAAATTCAATAAAAAAATTGTTCAATAAAACCTATACTATCATTATCAATACACAAACATTAACATGAACGGTAAATATACTATCGAGTCGGTAAAGCAGATTTCTTACAGAAATATTAACTTTGAATGCAATGTATGGTTGTAATTACATAATTACATAATCACTTAATTAAATGGTTTAATTACTTGGCATTCTTGCAGGTAATAGCATTGCATTCTTCCGATGCCTCGCAAGCTTTTTTGGCATCAGCCATATTCATGTTATCTAGTCCTTGAATCTTTTGCTTCATCTTCTGTTCTGTTCTTGTTACCCATTTACATACCTCTGAGAATTGTTGGCTACTTAACGTTAATCGCTATTTACTCGATTTGATACGATTCACATTAATCTAGAAAAAAGTTTGAAAAAGTTAGGATCATCATCATTCTTCAATCCAATCATATGCCGACTTACTTAGGATAGTAATTAGATCTGAACACAGTATACTTACTTTTCTCTTCGCCATCATCACCATCATCACCATCATCACCATCGTCACCATTATCTTCATCAGAACCTGAATGAATTATAAAATTAAAATCTGCCCAGAAATGGCTCTGAAACTAAAATGGCCAACAAGGTTCATAGCATAGCGTAGCGAGCATTAGCTTACCGTCTTCTTCCTCCTTGTTAGAGACAGCCAGATTCAGATCGTTGCCATTGTAGTTCCAAACTTGAGAGGTGACGCTGCCCATTGCCATCCCGCAGTCTCCGTCCGTCGAATCGAACATCTTGCTCCAGAGAACTTCATCATTGCTTGCATCCATCACCTTGACGCACTCGTTGGTTTTCTGTACTTTCAGTACTTTCATTCCGTCTCGGCACTTCACAGCATCACACTTGAGGTTGAAGTCGGTTTTCTCACCGCCCCACCAACTCTTGTCGCCACCGTTTTTGCAGTACAGATTTCCGGTGAGATCACTGGTAGCGGAGGTTTTCTTGTACATCTCAAAGTGACCAAAAGAAGCTCCGGTGTTGGTTTTCAAATAGATCTTATACCAGACACTTTCGTCACAGGGATATTTCACGTAAAACTTGGCAGGGTCATTCTTGGAGACCGATACGGTGACACTTTTTCCTTGGTTGAACTGTATCCATGTGAGAGCACTCATATCGTCACCATCATTACTGTCATCCTCATTGTCATCCTCATCACTTCCATCATCTTCATCATCACTACTACCATCGTCCTCTCCATCATCAGGATCAGAACCTTATTAGGTTGGGCTAGTTTTGTACTCATGAAATACCAATTTAGAATTGCTTAGCATTAGCAAATGTTTAGCAAATGCTCAGCAATTACTTGTTGGTATTTAAAATTTTAATGAATACATCGTCCACATTATAGTTACTGACTGTTAACGGACTGAAGAGCGAAGTAGAGAGATATTGAGTATGTATGAAGCAGCTTGAGCTACATCCTACATGGTAAATCACCCTCTATCACGACTCAAAAAATTAATGATACAAGAGGCGGTAATAAAAGAGTAGTGACTAACCTGTTACAACAGGATAGTGGCCATAGTCGGAGATTGCGCAGGTATTGCCTCCTCGTGACACCAACACGTAGCCACCATTTCCCCAACCAGCTCCCCAGCTGAACAGTTTCTCAATTTAACAAAATCTCTTAAACTGAGTGCGATTAAATAGTTAACGATATCGGTTATCGATCAATGATCAAATAATTGAGACTAGAAATTAAAATTTCACATCGTGAAGTAAATCATATCGTCCACAGTACCTGTTCCTGACTTTCCAGTAGTTCTTGCCCCCTTCTACACCGTAGCCTACAACGTCCATAGCATGGTTGATGGAGCTACATCCTGTTCCCGTGTAAACACCGCTCTGAAAAATCAAGCCTATTATCATGTGACCAGAAAAGGCTGAAAAATTCGAAATGTCAAACGTTCATTTGTTAATCGAGACGGTTGGATTCACAACTAAGTATTGCTTTTGTATTTTTCCTTTGTGAAAGAACCTAATTAAACAAATTTAAAGCATATGTTTTTTACCTTGTAGGAGAAGAAGTTATCAACAACCCCGAAAGCGATGGAGATTACCCCAATGTTGGCATCAGCAACAGCTGTCATCATGGCACTATCTCCTTTAACCAGATATCTACTTCCAGTGAGAGAGTACCCTTTGATTCCTGTCTTTATACCATTGGCAGCACCTCTACAAACTCCATCTGACAGAGATTTAGTTGAACTCACAGAATTTACTTTAACTTCGCATCGGAGTTCAAAATTAAAATTAAATTCAACCGTTTTCTAGTTTAAAATGTATATTGTATAGTTAAACGACGAGGAAATGATTTGTACACCGATCCGTTCACAGCTGATAAATTTCCTGAAAGCCAAATGTACAGTCGCCAGTTCAAATAACGAGGAAAATGATTAATTTGATTTCCACACCTTTTTGTACATAGGGGTAGTCCTCTTCTTTGGCGATCATGTTGCCGTTATCTCTGGTCCAATCGTAGCACTGGGTCGGCCACCCGCCATTACACCCGTCACGGACTCCCTCGTACACACAGTCCAGATACTGCTGCTCTGATAGAGACTTCACCGTCTGAGGAGGGAGGGCACGTTTATTAAAACGTTTATTTTATCATTTCATAGTTATAGTTATGTAAACACTTCTTAGTTATATAATTATTAATTAACGCTTCCTAACCTTCAACTGCGCACTTAAGTTAGCAGTTGACACTCACGCTATTATCTGGTCATGTTTAAAAAGTACTCACGTTACTGTTCCTGTTGACTTGATACTCCAGAGCTGCGACAGCACCAAAAGTCCAGCAACTCCCACAACTTCCTTGCCCCTTAACTGGAGGCAACTTGCTAGTGTAATCAACACTAGATGATTGACGCTTCTCGATGGCAACTGGCACGGCACCTCCCCTCCTCTTGGACAGAGATCTTTTCTGCTCCTCCATGATATCTGACGCGTTCAGACCAGTCCACTGGTACCTCTCTGCTTTAGTCTGGAGATTTAGGAATATAGGTTAGATACTGTTACCAGATATGATTATAATCATTACTTTAAATCCGAAATTGTAAAACCTCGAGCTGAACTGGAGTCCAGTTTTTGTTGCCCTCTGGACGATATGAAAAACAGTATCTAACCAGCTCATCACTAAGTAAAGGGTAAGTCACGTGGGTAAAGTACGTGTTAATTTGTTAGCACTCACCATAAGAGCAAACATGTTGACCTCAGCAAGAAAACCATCCTGATTCTCCGCGTTGTTTGTCTCTACTCCTCGGACATACTCACAAAACTCAGCGAAATGTTGCTTCGAGTCTGCCTGAGAGGATGCGACAAGCGGGACCGTATCCATGTATTTAGCCTGGATCTCTCTGTACAAGCCTCGCATGTCTTTGTCTTTGGAGAGTGCGGCAGCTATGATAGCACTGAATACCAGTACTGGTAGTAGCTTCATCATCTTAAAGGAGGGTTTGTTATTTATTGACTATTTATGAATCTATTTACGCACGATTATAGCTAAACCTGCAACTCATCATACCACGGTTCGAGTGTATGGTGTAAGAAAGTTAAAATAAGTGTACCCCCGGAATTCTAATTTTGTGCCCCAAGTGTGCCCGGCTAGATTATCAACTTGCCGAACAAGGTTACAATAGCCTCGGTTTTAATTTTGCTCCAAGATTTTCACTAAATTAGTTTTCGGGCCGGGCGCAGTATTCCATATTATTACTATTAGTAATAGTATGATATGGATGGAAGTCTAGAAGACTATAAGCCGCGGTAAAGAGGGTGTGACTGAAGAATAATAAATTTTGAAGCGAAAACGAAACGGAAGATAAATGAATAGCCAAATGGTGTACCACTGCTACAAATGGACACGGCACATAATGGACAAGCTGATGCGTTTGAGTTTCCGCGAACTCACCCTTTATAAGTGGTCCAATATTATGTTTCTAGCTTGTTAGACCATTGTATCACACGTCTCTCTTTGTATCTTTTTGTGTCCGGTGAAGTTTTATTCTCGTCCATTGTGTGCCCGGTCAATTGATCCTGGCCTGTAAACATTTCTAGACAATAAACTGTGAAGAAAAAACAAAAGAGCACAGTCCTTGTACCTGAGGACAATATAATTCGTCATAGACCAGTTCCTTGTTTATATCCTGAAGCGTTATAGTCATGGCAATGCTATGGTTAATGATTGGAACACAAATGTCCTCTTTGTGCTTGTATAAGATATTCGACAGCTGCTGCTACAAAGGACATGAATAAGCATTGTGACCAGTAGACTTAGAGTCTAGAGATCAGTTTACAAAGAAGAGTAAGTTATGGGAACGGTACAAATTTGTTTACGATCATCTTACTATATATAAAGCGAGACGATATATATATATATATCTGTGCCATTTTACTGACACCACGGCATCGACTTTAACGCAACTTTCTGCAAAAACCGTAAAAGATATACAACTGAAACTTTTTTGGCTGGGTCAAATGCTTCAATATCCTCCAAATCAGCATGAAAAAATAAAAAATTGGCCGAGGAATAATGATTTTAGAGCCGAAAATTTGGACCCCCAAGTGGTGTCAAAAACGCCAATTAAATAGGTAATAATTATTTCAGTATCTTGAGTCTTGACACCGTTTAGGGTTATATTTAACGGGTTCCTGCTAGTCATTATAATCAACAGATCAAGTACTACACTTACAATTATCAAGTAAATTTATACTAGTTGATATCTGAAACGTCTTCAAAAATGTTCTGTTTAAATTCTGAAATTTCATTAACGTTATAAAAACTCACGTAACAAATAAAAACGTGAAAACCCATTAAAAAATATTCAGAACCTTTACTAAATATCAGCGACTTTATTAACAAACAAAAACTAATATGTTCCGATCGAACATGTTCAAAATGTCGACAACATACTAATATCAAAAGTCAAGTAACAACTTATATCACTAAAATTCTGATTAAAACGCCAAACAACATCCTGCTCACAGTTCTGGATTTCAGCAAAAGATGAGGCAAGACTGGAAGTGAAGGTGATTATCGCAGTGTGAAGTTGGTGGTAACTGTGGTAACTGAAGTTGGTAACTGTGTTCAGTTAACTTCTATCAGGATACTTGCTATAAAGACCGTAGCAGCCACTTCATGGCCTCCTCTATTCCTTCGTTGTTTTTTATGGAGCATTTGAACACCTGAAGAAAAGCGGTAGATAATGTTGCAGTGAAACATCGAACCCCGGACCAGAAAACCCCGAACTATAATTAATGACCGTTGAGATAGACAAAATGCAAACACAATTTGGGGAACCAGCGATTAATCTAATATATAAAGTAAAGTATGAGAACTGGTTGAGTAACCTTAAAAGGTCTATCAGAAATATGGGACAGATCAAACATCTCGACAAGGTCCTGCGTTCCAACTGTCACCATGTCTTGTTTGTTGGCTGAGACATTGTTAGTAAGCTGTGGGAGGGAGATACTAAATATTTGACTAGCAGCGATCGTAGAATTTCTATTCTATTGAACAGTTTTATTATTCATCTTGTGGCGAAGTGTGAGTACCACTGTACCGTTGAAAACATAAACAGTGCAAGCACATTACCATAATGTTACGGTTATGTAACCATAATGTAACCATAATGTAACCATAATGTAACCATAATGTAACCATAATGTAACCATAATGTAACCATAATGTTACCATAATGTTACCATAATGTTACCATAATGTTACCATAATGTTACCATAATGTTACCATAATGTTACCATAATGTTACCATAATGTTACCATAATGTTACCATAATGTTACCATAATGTTACCATAATGTTACCATAATGTTACCATAAATCATAATGTTACCATAATGTTACCATAATGTTACCATAATGTTACCGTAATGTAACCATAATGTTACCATAATGTTACCATAATGTTACCATAATGTTACCTAATACTAAGATGGGGACAATTCTTAGCTCTTCAGCTTTTAACACTGCTTCTAACTCGCCAAGCGCTTCTGTGAACCTGAAGAAAGAAGTGGCAATAGATTACACTGGTTACCATGACAACTACAGTACTGTACAGGAGTGGTAATAGATTTGACGGTATACTGGAACCAGTAAAACAGGTCACTAAAATAACCACGAGTAATAATTATATCAACAACTAAAACATGACATCACTATATAATAGATCAAATCATGCTATTAAAATAGAAATCTATAATCTATATAATATATTTATAACCTATATAATATATCTATAACCTATATAATATATTTATCAATTAATTTAATTTAATTACAATAACCTGTCAGTTTCGGAGCTGTCCACAACGAATATGACCGCCTCTGCTGTAAGAAAGTACCGTTGCCACAATATCCGCAGTTTATCCTGTCCACCCAGGTCCCAGATGTGGAGATTTACAATATTCTTGTAGTTGATAGTTTCTACCTTGGAGACCACTGTCACCATATATTGACTAATCACTTTCCACAGTTTACTGAGTGTTTGCCAGTAAATAGGACAGTAAAACCACGATTTACCGCATACCTTGATTCACCGTGGTCATCTCCATTCCCCAAATAAGGCATAATGTAAGCAAACAAAACCCCGATTTACCGATTTTCTTCCCCCCCCCCAAACTCCGCGGAGTTTTACTGTATGAGTAATAACATTAACTAATTAAGTAATTAATTTAATAACTGATAAAGTAACCCACCACGTGACCAATAGTGGGTGCAGTGAGAACCTCCTCCCCGTCCTCATCTTTCAGAATCCTCACCAAACTAGACTTACCTGAAGTTATCATATTATTGGCAAAATCCATTGCATTAAACACTGCAGGTAGCGGCACTTTTAATTAACTCGTTACTTGAATTAAACATCTGCAGACTGCAATGTCACCTCTCCTTACAAAGGCATCGACCAATGCGAATTTAGATGTGCACTAGTTAATAGTGTGTCATAACTGTAGATCTTCTTTTCAGATTTCTCTAGCCAAAATCACAAAAGTCGAACATGAGTCTATAATCTAAAGCTAATCCGACAAAGTATTTTACCTGCGTTAGCGAGGCCCACAATAATAATACTGGCAGCTTTGTCCGAACTGAATAGTCTGGAAATATGCCCCACAAAGGTTGAGAGGTATATTCCCATAGCAAGATAGCAGCTGCCTCCTTACTTCTTATCAGAGCTATCAGCCAACAACCTGAAATAACGAACAAAGTAAACAAATCTAAAACTTCTTAATTCAATAGCTTTGTGGTATTTGTCCACAGTAAATGCGGCAATAGTACACGTTCTTTTTAAATCAATTGCATTCACTTGGATTGTATAGGGTAAGTTCTTGTACATTGTAATCAACACGGATATTACTTTTATGTTTTATTTTTAGCAATGCGTGTAAGTGTGTATCAGGAATTTTGATATCTTAATTTTAAGCCGTATTAAGACGTCAATGAATTTATAAATAAACATTAAATTCCGGAATATAATGAGGGTGAAAGTTAATTGCACCCGACCCCTCCCAAACAGACAAAACTGCAGCTGTTCATAAAATCAATAAGCGATCTGCACAGTGCACAGTCAACAGTGAAGGAGTCCGGGAATTCACTCTAAAAAACAAGAGACTAAAATATTATGAGTATCACCAGTACAAGTTACAACTACTACTACTAGTACTAGTAGTAGTACTAGTCTGGTAGCGTAGTAAGAATATATACAAGTGTTTCATAACGAATAGGTCTACAGATACAAAAATTACTTCTTACCCCGCCGGTCCTTCTTTTGCTCGACACTACATGCTATGTATATTGTATATATATGAAGGATTTATAGGCGGGAATGGCTTCTAAACACGATATCAAGAGCACACCAAAAAGGAAAAATGAGACGAGTGAGATGAAGTAGCTCGAGAGTTGACAGTTCAGCAATGCTTATTGTTCATGGCCGGGCGTAGGTTGGAGAACAACAGCTACTCTGTGCAATGTGCAAAACTCCACCTTCTATCACAATGATAAAAAATGTGACCCTAAAAATTCTTAAACAGCAGAGGTAAAACTACAGTGCAGAGTTACTGCACACAATACAGCAGAGGTAAAACTACAGAAGAGTTACTACACACAATACAGCAGAGGTAAAAATACAGCAGAGTTACTACACACAATACAGCAGAGGGAAAACTACAGCAGTGTTACTACACACAATACAGCAGAGGTAAAAATACAGAAGAGTTACTACACACAATACAGCAGAGGGAAAACTACAGCAGAGTTACTACACACAATACAGCAGAGGGAAAACTACAGCAGAGTTACTCACCGTAAGATCGATCAATCCCAAATCATCTGCTGAGTTGAGCGTGATGTACCAATGAACTCGACTCAAAATGCAACAGGGTGTAGTGCAATTATACTGCTCAGGAATAATACAAGCAACTTAGCAACTATACTAGCGTAAACAAACGTTTAACTAAGCGCTATAAGGATCAGTACACAAACAAACAGCTAGAAAGATGACATGTGCATACATATACCCAGACAAGTAGCACTAGCAGTAGTACCTACAGAGCCAGATTATTTATACTCAGCACAATAATTAGAGAGATAATGATAAGTGTATTATAGGTGTACCGGCAACCGCTTGGTTCTCTAGTATATTTACGGGGCCCGCAAGCTAAACAAATCCTATATTTGGTTATAATCGGTGACAAACTCCACTTCCTATTTCAAGTAGCTCTATTTCAACGTTATTTTATTCCAAAATCCAAATCGTGCGACTTACTTACTTATGTTACTTATGTGATGCTTTAGCTGCGCTGCAGCTAAGCAGCAGGGCCATCAACTGAAATGACCACCCTTATGCTTAACTTCGGACAACCATGGCTTTATAGTCACGGCATGTAACTGGCACTTACAGGAAACCGAAGGATCAAGTCTAACGCCAGCGACGGTTAAGGTATTATATCACACTTTCTTCGCCCGAAGCTTCGCTGTATTGATCATGTACAGCTCCTCATTTAACCCTCACACACGATTTCTCGAGCATTCGGCTGAGTAGACCGGGGGCTGCATAGGTCCAACGGAACCCTTAGCAGAGCGTCAACGACGCTCACCCCATGGCTAGCGGCACAGACGGGAAATGGGAATCGAACCTGGGACCCTGTGAATGCGAGGCATTTCACAAGCAAGCCGACTAACGAACTGCGCCACTATCACACTTTTTATTTCTATTTCTATTTTGTAACAGAACGATCATGTAGACCAAAGGCCGCGGTACAACCGCAAGCCATCGAACAATAAGTAGGTAGCTAGTAGTTAAATACCGAATGGATTATTTGACCAAAACCCATAATCATGGGTAGAGTGTACCGCTGCCAGTGTCTCTCTTTTCCAAACAAAAGGAAATGATATTAATTTGAGGAACAGTCCGCTAATGCAAATTGATACCGAGAATGAAATCGGTCGCTCGCTTTTTCAAATCAATAAGCTTTATTACAATTCGTAAGCCGTGATCGAATGGAAAAAGCGAGCGACCGATTTCATTCTCGGTATCAATTTGCATTAGCGGACTGTTCCTCAAATTAATATCATTTCCTTTTGTTTGGAAAAGAGAGACACTGGCAGCGGTACACTCTACCCATGATTATGGGTTTTGGTCAAATATCATCTCTTTTTGATTATAATGTCAGGATAATTTACACAGCTAGTCGAAACTTCATTAACAAGGAGGTAATTTCGACGATTTCGAAATTCTGCCTTTGAAAACGTTTCCTTGTGTTTAGTTAGGTATTTCTGTCGATAACCGACTGAATATGGCACTTTTTACTCATTCAAGTTGGCATTAAATTCATATATAATGCCATTTAAATATCGTGGAAAGCAGAATATATTCGAAATCAGGAATGAGCAAATTTCTCACCTTTCGCACGTGCAAACTTTGAGCGGACGTCGCGTGCGCATACAATATTGAATCACCGTAAATTTTTGCATAGTGGTATTTAATATATAGTTTGATAAGCATGCAAAGTTTCAGAAGATTTCAAAAAGAGCTTGGATCACAACGGGACTCCAAAGTTGATAAAAATCGTGAAAATCAAAATTTTTAGCGATTTTAGCTATTTTAAATGAATTTGGGCGTGTCCCCACGTGTGCAACTTTTCGATTTTTAACTTTAAAACTAGCCTATAACACAATTTACACCTTTAAGAAGCAAAATTGAGCTCCACAACCCAAGGGATGGCCCAACACCAGAGAATACTAATTCACAACTTTTGTGTTTTTATAAAATTATTCTTCAAAAAAGCACTAACTTCAATAGCAAATATCTTTATGAAGGAGCAAGGTAGGAAACTATTCCGGTAGATTTTCGGAATGCTTGAACAATTATCTAAGATGAAAATGTCCTCAGATTTTGAATAAAATTACTCCTTAATAGTGTAAAATCGATTTAAAAAGTTGTTACTTTGTCAAAAGTCAAGTTTTAAAAACACTTAACTTGATGACGTCATCAAGTGATGATGATGACGTTAAATTATTTTTCAATACAATGTAAACTAAAGCTTAAACAATTATCTTTAAAACCTGTGGTTCGAGATGACTGTATCGTTTATACTTTTGAATCTACGGACACTTAAATGTAGGCTACAATTGACTGCAAAAAGCGTCTATACATATATATATATCTTCACGACAATCTGTTGTAAAACAGGGGTTCCAGAAAACCCACTTCCCGATACTCCTGAAACATGAAATTTTTTTTACAGTCGATTTGGACAAGGTCTAGACGCCCTGCAAAGTTTCAGATCTCTAACTCAATTTTAACATGGTTTTTAAGGCACCTGAATATGGCGATTTTGGGTTTTTTACCTAATTTCGTATAACATGCTGGCGCGTATTTTGCGCAAATTTCTTAAAAACCTCCATACAACTATTTCTTATTCCTGTCATCTTCAACATTGAATTAGAATGTTTTGAACTTAAATGTACCTGCTGAACTACTTTCGATGAGTCTTAATGCCTGGAAAACAATAAAGGGGATATAATCGTATAGGGGGTAAATAGTGTTGTGAATATAAGGGCGGCGGTAATGCTTGCCAGCATTGTGATTTAAGAAATTTATCTGCGAGAAGTCAAATGTCTCTTCCTTTGTATTTGTATTTGTAACTTAAACTATACTATGCTTTGCCAAGAACTGCGTAATATTGATTAAAGTGACTTTCAATTTGTTGCAGCTCACAATGTTAACCGTGCTGTCTGCTGTACGCTCCTAGACTCTTGTAAAATGTACAACAACGAAAATATTACCAAGAAATACTAACTACCGTTTATATGTTATATGGTCGGGGATTAATCTTCGAGAGGGCGCGGTGTATGGATCAATAAATGTTTTTGCCATAAAACGGACCGAACAGATCCTAACTCATATTCCACTCATCATAGCATATTGCTTCAGAATGTACAAATAAAAGGGCATAACCTCAATCAGTTTAATGTAGTGAAATGACTGGTGTGGATGAAGTAGTGTACTAATACAAGTTGGAGAGGATCAGGTAAGCTTAGTCAGCATCCATGATGTTACAAACCCTCTGGGACATTACTGAGCCAAGTCTCAAATTTACACTATTCACAAATTCCTACTACGGACAAACTAACACAGACAAAACACCAGACAAAACACCAACAAAAAACTGATATACACTAGCTAGCTCAGAGAGGAAATGAGTACCGGCTCAGGAGGTATGTCAAAACAGGATCAAGGCTATTGTTTCGGTGTTGGTATCTCAGGAATTTGTCAATCTTTGTTTTTCCGTTTAACTTTAAGCAAAGGTGCTCAGTTTTTTAATATTTAATCAAGGTCCACTGGATCAGAAGTGTGGATTGTGCTTTCCAACACTATAAGAGAAACAAAGGGGGGAAACAAAGCTATTTCATTGTACACTTTGAGGAAGTGCTGTCGAGGAGGCTCTGCTTGGAAGAGGAGGCTCTACTTAGAGGAGGAGTCTCTACTTGAAAGAGGAGGCTCTGCTTGAAGGAGGAGGCTCTGCTTGAAGGAGGAGGCTATGCTTGAAGGAGGAGGCTCTACTTAGAGGAGGAGGCTCTGCTTGGAGACTCTGGACTCTTTCTACTTCTAGCCAGACTACTCATTGATAGTATTGGAGTGAGGAGACACCTGCATATTGCATAAGAGAGTAGCCTCCTGACTAGAACTCTAGAAAGAGTATTGCGCCAAAAATCGCGAAATCTACACTTCTTCTTCTTGGCATCTTGCCAATATCATCTTGCCATTATATCACATATCCATCATCCTTAATAACATTTGATAACGATGTTTTCAATTAAGTATCTTAATTTAAGATTTCAAATATTTTTATAACCATATTGCCGAGTAGAAAATATGAAAAATGGTAACATTAACAAATACGTTTTATTTTGTTTAAATTTAATCTAATTTAATCTAATTTTACAAATAACACGCGAGTATTAGGTATCCATTCAAGGCAAAACAAATATAATTTATATATAACATTTCAAATGGGATAAAATAGCCGCAAACTGGGAAGTTTCAGTACCATAGAACAGCGTAGCTTAAAAATTAAACTGAAAAAATTAGTAATTTCAGTTAGAGTTAACTTAGAAAAATATATTTCTTTGCATGTGTTTTTCGGGATCGGTAATCGAAATTTGTAGATCAACCGTGTAAAAACATGCCAAGATTTGGACTGTAATAGGAGGATCTAGCGTTAATGCAATGCATATCGAATGAACTATTGATATTTTATCTATTGCGGAATAATTCAATTTCTGAGTTCAATTATTTGAAAGAGGAGAACAGTCGGAGAATCCGCAGCGTACACACTGTGACAAGAAAAGGGTCAAGGACCCTCATGGCTATCATTTAATGGCTTACGGTAATGATGAGCGAAAATTTTCGCACGCATTTATTAATTAGCGAGGAAATGCTAGGTTAAAATCTCGGAAAAAAACACACGCAAATTAAAAATTTCAACAAATTGTTACGTTTAGCAAAATACAAGGGCTCAAAATTTTCAACGCTTAAATATAAAACAAGTTCAGCCTTTCAAAGTGCGATCAGCATAAGCGGGTACAATACTGAAACATTTTGAAAATAAGCGACTTAAATAGGTTAGTATAAATATAATCAATTTTAATGGGGCTTCTTCGGTTCTCGCTCAAAACAAATAAGCTTCAACGAATTTTTCCTTTAACTTAAGAAGGCAAATATAAAATACAGTCAAAAGTTCACGACGTAAGGAAAACTTCTAGGATGCTGATAAGAAGTCACTTATCCTACTGAATTCAATAAACTATGAGCCTGCTCATAAACACTGAGTTACAGGATCTACCACCTCAAAAAAATAATTCCTCTCAGATTTTAGCCATTCCTTCCCAAACTCTTAACCCTTTCAACTCATACTCTCGAACACAAAATCTCTGTCATCCTCAGTATTTCAAACAATCCAATTGATGATCACATTTCCGTTCTTGATTTTCAATTTGAAGTTGTCTCAGCAAATCTGGCAACTCGAGCCTCATCATGCCTCGCGTACCACCGCGCTGATAATTCGCCCGATTAATTTTTCCGAATAACATTAAAATTCAAATCCTACAGCTGCTTTGCCGGCGGCTAACATGTCCTATTTCTTGTTGGTTGCTTCTGTAAACTGTCTGTTAGGTCCGAGTCTAACTATTAGTTTTCTGAGTGACTCTCTTTTTTTCGTAATGTCTTGTTGGGAGAACCAGTCTTTCCTTTCAACCGGGAATCTGTAGTCTGTTATTGGGCTCTGAAAATGTGCAGTGTTATTAGCAGAGCAGTTTAGTTTTTATGCTACAGCGTTAAGGCATTCTTCTTATCGAAACCATGCAGTGAAAAAAAGTAGCAAAAACTATTAACTATATAGGGGCAACCAGTTGGGACCAAAAAGGGTTACGCTCAAACCTAATTTCAGATAATGGCCACTAAAAATAAAACATTATGGCCTTGTCTCAATTAATCAGACAAAAGTTTTGCTACTCACCTCGAAGAACTTCTCGACAAACTGCAACAAGAAGACACCGCAATCACAAAAGTTCTCTTGGAGAGGTCCCTCAACGAAAATACCGGGAAAGTTTTGTTTGTTGAAACTCCGGGGTCCTCTTTCACTCTTCGTCTTCCACTCAGCTGATATTTTTAATTGAGTACAAGTTTAATCTATTATCAAATAAAATATCAAGAATGATCAATGAGTATTCGATTATTAAAAATAACAATCACGAGGTAACGTAACAATGGGGGGGTGTCATGTCCGTCTATGTCCGCCTATGTCCTGTCCTTTTTGGATTCTATGAGACAACGGACGTGTTTTTTGGGACATTGGCGGACACGGACGGACATTGGCGGACTCGGACGGACATTGGCGGACTCGGACGGACATTGGCGGACTCGGACGGACATTGGCGGACCCGGACGGACATTGGCGGACTTGGATGGACATTGGTGGACATTAGCGGACATTGGTGGACATTAGCGGACAAACATTTTGAGGACTGAAGAGTACTGAAGAGTACTGAAGAGTACTGAGGAGGATGGCTGAGAAGGATGACTGAGGAGGAGGACTGAGGAGGACTGAGAAGGAGGAGGACTCAGGAGGATTAGACCGGTTCATTTTACCAAAAGTTGTTCAAATAATTAGAGACCCTATCTTATTAGTTGCTCTATAGGGTCAGGAACTACCAAAAAAAAATTTTTGACTCTAGTGTTTCGGATAATGTCGCCATGGGCCACGCCCATTTTTATAGCGTTTCTTATACAGGTAAAATTCTCTAAATCGTCAATTTAGTCATGAAGGAGTATGGAAGGAGTTCTAAATGTGTGCTCCTCTAATATAGACAGTAGAAAATGGTTAACTTTAGTGGAGGTCTCAGGTCTCTACAATGTCGGGAAGTTCCTGCTGGAGGATGGCTGAGGAGGATGGCTGAGGAGGATGACTGAGAGGGAGGAGGAGGAGGAAGAGGAGGAAAAGGACTGAGGAGGAGGAGGAGAAGGACTGAGGAGGAGAAGGAGGACCCAGGAGGAGGAGGACCCAGGAGGAGGAGGACCCAGGAGGAGGACCCAGGAAAAGGCCCCAGGAGGAGGAGGAGGACTGGGGAGGAGGAGAACTGTTAAGGACTGATGAGGAGGACTGAGGACGAGGAGGAAGAGTAGGAGGAGGACTGGGGAGGATCAGGAAGACCCAGGAGGACCCAGGAGGAGGAGGAGAAGGAGGACCCAGGAGGAGGAGGACTGAGGAGGAGGACTGACGATGACTGAGAAGGAGGAGGACTGAGGAGTACTGAGGAAGATGGCTAAGGAGGATGGGTGGGGAAGATGGCTGAGGAGGATGACTGAGGAGGATGACTGAGCTCAGGGAGGAGGAGGAGGACTCAGGAGGAGGACTCAGAAGGAAGAGGAGGAGGACTCAGGAGGAGGACTCAGGAGGAGGACTTAGGAGAAATGAGAAGGAGGACTGAGGAGAACTGAGGAGGAGGAGGAGGACTGAATAGGAGGAGGAGAAGGAGGGGGACTGGGAGAGGACTGGGGAGGAGGAGGACTGGTGAGAAGGATGAGGAGGAGGACCCAGGAGGAGGAGGACTGAGGACCGAGGAGAAAGAGGAGGAGGATGAAGAGGAGGAGGAGGACCCAGGAGGAGGAGGACTGAGGAGGAGGACTGAGGAGGACTGAGGAGGACTGAGGAGGATGGCTGAGGAGGATGACTGAGAGGGAAGAGGAGGAGGAGGAGGAGGAGGAGGACTGAGGAGGACTGAGAAGGAGGAGGAGGAGGAGTATGGAAGGAGTTCTAAATGTGTGCTCCTCTAATATAGACAGTAGAAAATGGTTAACTTTAGTGGAGGTCTCAGGTCTCTACAATGTCGGGAAGTTCCTGCTGGAGGATGGCTGAGGAGGATGGCTGAGGAGGATGACTGAGAGGGAGGAGGAGGAGGAAGAGGAGGAAAAGGACTGAGGAGGAGGAGGAGAAGGACTGAGGAGGAGAATGAGGACCCAGGAGAAGGAGGACCCAGGAGGAGGACCCAGGAAAAGGCCCCAGGAGGAGGAGGAGGACTGGGGAGGAGGAGAACTGTTAAGGACTGATGAGGAGGACTGAGGACGAGGAGGAAGAGTAGGAGGAGGACTGGGGAGGATCAGGAAGACCCAGGAGGACCCAGGAGGAGGAGGAGAAGGAGGACCCAGGAGGAGGAGGAGGACTGAGGAGGAGGACTGACGATGACTGAGAAGGAGGAGGACTGAGGAGTACTGAGGAAGATGGCTGAGGAGGATGGCTGGGGAAGATGGCTGAGGAGGATGACTGAGGAGGATGACTGAGCTCAGGGAGGAGGAGGAGGACTCAGGAGGAGGACTCAGAAGGAAGAGGAGGAGGACTCAGGAGGAGGACTCAGGAGGAGGACTCAGGAGGAGGACTCAGGAGGAGGACTTAGGAGAAATGAGAAGGAGGACTGAGGAGAACTGAGGAGGAGGAGGAGGACTGAATAGGAGGAGGAGAAGGAGGGGGACTGGGAGAGGACTGGGGAGGAGGAGGACTGGTGAAAAGGATGAGGAGGAGGACCCAGGAGGAGGAGGACTGAGGACCGAGGAGGACTGAGGACCGAGGAGAAAGAGGAGGAGGAGGACCCAGGAGGAGGAGGACTGAGGAGGAGGACTGAGGAGGACTGAGGAGGACTGAGGAGGATGGCTGAGGAGGATGACTGAGAGGGAAGAGGAGGAGGAGGAGGAGGAGGACTGAGGAGGACTGAGAAGGAGGAGGAGGAGGAGGAGGAGTGAGGACTGAATAGGAGGAGGAGGAGGGGGACTGGGGGAGGACTGAGGAGGAGGATGGAGGACTGAGGAGAAGGATGAGGAGGACTGAGGAGGACTGAGGACTGAGGAGGAAGAGGAGGAGGATGAAGAGGAGGAGGACCCAGGAGGAGGACTCAGGAGGAGGAGGACCCAGGAGGAGGACTCAGGAGGAGGAGGAGGACTGGGGAGGAGGAGGACTGTTGAGGACTGATGAGGAGGACTGAGGACGAGGAGTAGGAGGAGGACTGAGGAGGGGAGGAGGAAGAGGACTGAGGAAGATCAGGAAGACCCAGGGGGAGGAGGAGGAAGAGTAGGAGGAGGAAGCATCTAAATGTTATTTCCATTTTTGTCCGTTTTTGTCCATTTTTGTCCGTTTTTGTCCACTCTATTTTTTGTCCGTTTTGAAAATATAGGGTACCGAACGGACAAAAAACATGATCCCCCCTATAACAGCAAAAATTGAACATTTTATTTAGCAATTTAGGTGTCCATTAATGTCCGCCTATGTCCGCCTATGTCCGTCTATGTCCGCCTATGTCCGTCTATGTCCGCCTATGTCCGCCTATGTCCGCCTATGTCCGTCTATGTCCGCCTATGTCCTGTCCTTTTTGGATTCTATGAGACAAGCGGACATAGACGGACGTGACACCCCCCCCCCCCCCCCCCCCCCCCCCCAAACAATTTTTGTGGTATAAGCAAAAACTGGACCAACCTGCAAGGTAGTTCCTGATGTTGTTGACTACCTTGTTACGGCCATTCGCAACCAGGCTGTCAAACATAAGGATACAAGGTCTACAGGAGATGGGGGGCACTGTGCTGTGTTCTTTGTTCTGAAATACTTCTTGTAACACAACATTCAGATTACAGAGGGATAGGTCAAGTGTTTACAAAAGTAATAAGTTTCCTCAAAAGAAGTTGTCCTAAGGAAAAGGTTAAAAATCTAAAGGAGAAATGACAGTTTTAAAATAGATGATGAAGATATTCGTATGAAACACCCTTGGAGTTTAAGCACGCACCTTGCTGAGCACACCATCAATATCCTTCTCGTCCACAGTATCATCCTGTTCCGACCTCTCACTACGTTTGTTGGCAGGTTTCCAAGATTTAGCCTCCTCGTAATGAGGTGATTCTAACCAGGGGTAGCATATGATGGCTAGATACCAGTGCTGGTGCTCGTTGATTGGCACTATTATGTAGTCCTTAGAAAACAGATCTATTGTTTTACTCCACTTCTTCACCTGTACAAGTCCAATTTAACAGAAGTTACATGAAATGACGGAGTTGGATTAAGTATTTATTTTGAAAAAAGTTTATATATCATGTATGTATGTATGGCAAAATCAGGAGGGTGAGAATTGAAGGCTCCAGCACTAACCTGTTGGTGCATCCTCTCAGAATTGCTCATCCTCTTAGAGGCCGGATCGTTCTTAGTCTCCTTCTTAATCGGCTGAGTCAGAGCTTTGTAGAAGAAGGAGTTGAACAGATGAGTCTTGTCTCGTAAGCTAACTGACATTAGTTCATGGTGCACGTACTGTAACAGAAAGTGGAGATTACTGAATACTCATTACAGTTACAGATGTGGTGTTTTAGATTGGTTGTTATTGAATAGTGAGTTATTTCGCCTTATATGGCAAAATTCCTGGAAAGAAAAGTTTCCTCATAATGAGTGAAGAACATGGAAAACAAGTTTAATTACACTTCATACTATATAATTTAAATATTCATATATATTTTACTTGTGCTTGCTCTAACCAGTCTGAGCATTTCCCGAGCCTAATAATTTTCTGTCGCCATTATTTTAATTTAAGTTTATTGCTGTGTAATTCTGTACTATTAGATGAAAGTTTCAAATCAAATGAAACATACCTTGAGATAGAAGTCGAGTATACTATCATTGAGGAACTCCTCAGGTTTCAGACATTCCAGATCTGCATAAGTTAAAGTAATGCTGGCTTGAGCTGGGGGTGGTGGGTACACCAATAGTGTCCTCGTATCCTGTTCTATTACATCAGTGTCCATGTGTCTGAAAGAAATTTTGAGTGTTGTTTATTCAGTCTGATTTATGATCAGTTGATTCTGTATAAGCTACGAACGTTGCTAAAACAAATAAAAGGTATTGTAACTTACGAGTCAAAATGATCAACAGGTGGTAGAAGTTCCTTAATATGTGCAGCAGTACAGGACTCGATCCTGTTCATTTTAACGTTGTGATGCTTATCAAGGTAGTATCCCATCATGGTAATGTGTTGAGCTGGCGGCTCCTTCACAAACTCTAGACTTATAACTCTTTTGTACCTAACAGTGCTTTTAGGTTCAAGTTCTAAGGGTATTTGTCTGGAGAGAGCGTTCTTTAGTTGCGCTATTAAACCATTAGCCCACAGCTCCTGAGGGTAAGGGATGTTAGGACTCTACCTTTTGGACATTAGTTAACTAAAAATAATCAATTATGTGCTATTTTTAAAAATCGTTCTATCATTCTATTTAAATCTTTAAATTCAACTAAGACTAAGGTCTACAAAATAGTATTAATATGTCGATTGTGACTAACCTCTACATGAATAACCAGTGCGTGAAGGTCGTTACTAAAATGAGATTCCATTTTAATGATCTCATTCCACGGCACACAAACTTTGACTTCAGCTAATAAAACTTCGCTCGTCACGTTAAACTCGAAATGTTCCTGGTTTATCTGAAAAGGACAATAAATATTAATTTGAGGAATCTGACGAACTGCCAAAGAGAGCTAAATGACAGGGAATCGAACCCTGGTCGTCCGCGTGACAGGCGAAAAAACTCATCATCATACTATCTAGGAGACGAGGAGAGGCCATTTTTAAGAAATTTGAAATAAGTGAATTTTGAGGTTCCACCATAATTCATCACCATGTCAAGCACAATAACATGGAACCATGGTGACATCCAAACAGGCTATGAAAGATATCCATGAAACCAGCTAAACTGTCAAAATTGACCAGTTGACAGTTCCCGATCTGAAAAAGTCGACAGCATGGTTAGCGCAAACCATGTGCTTCAAATAAATCGCGCCGCGCAAATTAACCATTATGCTTTCCATGACAAAAGCCTGATTAGAATGCTCACAACTATTAGTAGACCTACTCACCTCCAGGATGGATACATCCAATTTTGTGAGCGATCCTATGTGTGCTGCAGAAATGCACCACTGGTGAACGTCTCCGTTACTCTGAAGTTGTGCACAATCAATGTACTTACTATTTAAAGGGTGCTTACTAATTATAGGATAACAACCAGGAATTAGTAAGAATTTATTCGTATTCGTCAGATTTTAATCGACACCAAATTGCACTGGACTAATGCGTAATTTTTATTTCTATCGATGATTATCTATATAAATCTCAAAACTTACATTCTCAGCTTCGTCCTCGGAGCTGTCCAGCGTCATGGGATTGTCGGCAGTACTTCCTATTTGAGGAGGCCTGTTTGCTGCTGCCTCCTCCTGAAATAAGGGTAGTGTGTTTGCAGTGTGAAACAGAGCGACAGTGAAAGTCGAGATGAATGTAAAATCAGGACAAAAATTAGTAGTATAGTTTAATCTTACATATTATCAAAGATGAATAGAGCACAAATGACTTCCAAGCCAGGCAGGATATCTGATTTTACACGCAACTTTGAGCCGACATTGGAATGAATTTTATGGATTTGCTGGCAGATACTAAGGGTTGTGTATAATCACAAAGGGCAACTCGCAAAAGCCATGGTGGGCCTTGAATACGCCAGCTCCTCGGGTTACTACAGAGCCGACAGCGCTAGTGGGCCCCCTTATGTACCAGGACTCTACCGGCAACGATCGACTAACGCCCCAGATATAAGCAAAGATTGGCGCGCAGTCATAAACAGCGGGTGCGCGCACAGAACTGCTTCCCGCTAGTACCAATAACACTCACCTGACTCCCACGTGACACTAACCTCACGCCGCGGTGCGGTATTTCGATCATGACAAGCCAAACCGGATTAAACCACTTGTTAATATAGCCGTTCTGCTTGCCAGTCTCTACATTAATTAGCCCGCTGGGTTTTGCTGCCCCCCTGTTTGCAAATTTGCCGCCCCCTCGGAGAGTGTAATGGGAGTATCGCTACTATGTGGGAGTGTAATGGGAGTATCGCTACAATATGGGAGTGTAATGGGAGTATCGCTACAATGTGGGAGTGTAATGGGAGTATCGCTACAATATGGGAGTGTAATGGGAGTATCGCTACAATGTGGGAGTGTAATGGGAGTATCGCTACAATATGGGAGTGTAATGGGAGTATCGCTACAATATGGGAGTGTAATGGGAGTATCGCTACAATGTGGGAGTGTAATGGGAGTATCGCTACAATGTGGGAGTATAATGGGAGTATCGCTACATTATGGGAGTGTAATGGGAGTATCGCTACATTGTGGGAGTGTAATGGGAGTATCGCTACATTGTGGGAGTGTTATGGGAGTATCGCTACATTGTGGGAGTGTAATGGGAGTATCGCTACAATGTGGGAGTGCAATGGGAGTATCGCTACATTGTGGGAGTGTTATGGGAGTAATGTATAGTAGTTACCACACCAAACGTGTGTAATGTGTGTAATGGCATAAATGGACCCTGGATCAGAACCTGTATTTCCTGTGTCGTACAATATGATCCCTGCTCCTGTTATTTCTGGACTGAGTGAGAGTCCACCTCACGTGACGTCACAAACCCTCACGTTTTAGCTCAGCCACCAAAAGGCAGATAGTATCAATACAGTTCCCCACCACCTAACACACTATCCAAACGTTAGCACACCCGCAACCGCCATTAGCAACCTACGTCTCACCAAGTCTCAAGAGCCAGCATTACTCAGCACGGGCGTCATCCTTTCATGGTGTTGAGCGGCCAGGGTAACCACCCAGAACTTCCCTAGGGACCAAGTTAGTAAATCTCCGGAGGTGCAACCCCGATTCGGCTGATACCTTAGCACGTATTATCATCCAGTGGCCCTCAGGGAAGGGGCTTAATGCAGATGGATGGACTCCAGTAGGACGCTCCCCAAGTGGAGGGTCGCCACCTCTATATGACGGTGGTCAGTGGGTGTCGCGACAAAAAAAAAAAAAAAAAAAAAAAAAAAAAAAATCACAAAGGGACTCATAACTCATTATAAGTAGGCGGCATGCAGTAGATATTTAATAATGAGCAAGTACCTTTGGTACCTTAGGTCGCCTAGTAGGGGCTCCATCAATAGGACGATTAATAGGATTTGAAGTTCTCCTAGCCTCAGTGGTTGGTGTCTCCCGTGTCTCCATTGTCTTCGCTGTCTCCAACCGGTCGTCCTTAAATCGAGATCTGTGAGCTATCATGGGTTCCTCGTCTTCAGGTGTCTTTAAAAAGGGTATGTGTGGTTTAGCGGGTGGAGTTAGTTTGGGTGTGGTCTGTTGTTTGGTGGTGTTGCTGTGGAGGGGCTCCCGGGGTGAGGCCTGCGTTCGGGTTATCAACCGCACTTCCGCTTTCTTCTCTTCTGAAGATAACTATTGTTATTTTCAAGTAGTGTAAGTAGAACACTGATACTGCTCGCTACCTGATTTTACGTTAAATGGGTGCAATAATGTATCAAGACTGAAGAGTAGAACGTACCTGTAATATGCTTAAATTTCGCGGGGGCCGGGGGGATCAGGTACTAAGTTCCGTACGTGACGTCGACTAAGTGTAACCTTGGAGTTTACAAAAAGACCCACCCACCCCCTTCGCGGTACAAACTGTTTTTTAGGATAATAATTAAGACACCCACCCCCTTTTGCCGGCTTTTGTGGTACTAACTGTTGAGAAATCACGGTACTAACTGTGTCTTGGTATATAAAATAAGATACCCACCCATAAATTGCTTTAAACAGCTCATTAAACATTGGGAAATGGGCAAATTATACCCACTATTTAGTAGGGGTTTTGTTTTCAATGTAGTCGAATTAGATAAAAAGTTACAAAAACAGGAAAAAATTCAAAAAACCCCAAAAAAACCTCAAAACCCATTCCTAAAATTGAAATTTGAGGTAAAATGGGTTTTTTTGGGGTTGGACACCCCCCTAAGTACCATGTACTAACTGTTTTTCTGGGAAATGTACCATGTACACAGTACAAACTGTGTTTTGGAAGGAAATAATGACCCACCCCCCCCCCCCCCCCCCCCAACGTCACGATTCTGACCTTATGATCCCCCCCCCCCCCCCCAGATTTTCGTTCCTTGAAATGCTTTACATAGAGTAATTTGTACAGGCATAAGTACTAGACTTTAACTAAACTGTAGTTTGGTACGTACAGTGGATCACGATCCTAACTAAATACTAAAGTATGAGCCGTCTAGTTCATAGCTGGTATATAATACTATCTCGTAGAAGTGTATTTATCTAGACGGGCACATATTTTAGAGTACAAGGGGGGGGGGGGGCAAAGTCAGTACCCATACTCATTCACTGAGTGCCCTATTGAGATAATTCTTCCTGGTATGACTTACTATCACCACTCGTTCGAGGAATACATCAAATCAAAGAATATTCGTGTTAATTTTTTTCGAATGAAGGTTCATTTTTGCATTTATTTGATAGATGTAGCCAAATTGTATTAAATTATGTTAGGCTATTCAAATAACATTCGCCCTAAAAAAATGAGAGTTCCAGATGACCGAGATATGAAGCATAACGAGTTTCTTCATTACGTGTGATCGATGATTGGGTTGAAACTAGATCTGCATTATGGGAATCGTGCAGAGAGCCCAATTACGGTGTCGCAGCACGCTATCACATAATTAGTGATTGGGCAATCATTGATTATTCAATCTATATTGCTAACGAGATAAACAAATTGCTTGATAACTTCGTCATTTAAAAAATTTCTAGTCGAAAATAGATATCATATCATTTATAATATGAAACTCAACAAATTTTTAATCTTAAACATGGATCACTTCCGCACTTACAGTTGATTCCGCTAAATTTTGTGTCCAAATAGAGCTAAAATACCGGTCCCGATCAAATTTGACTGATCCCGGCCAATTTCAAATTGGATAAAAAATCCCGGTCCCGGTCCCAGCAATTTCAAAATTCTTATCACGGTCGTTTGCTGTTTCACACCATCTTTTCAGATTATATTCCGCAATATGTTACAACGAGTATAAGCAATTTAATGTGTTAATTGGGTGTGAACTGTGGCCCCAAAAATCGAATTTTCAAATTTTGGTGACGGAATCCTCGAATGAGTAGTGACAGTTGCAGTATACCATCTGCATTCTGCAAAGTTACAGGTCTCAAATATGAAACACGGAGGTGGTATAAGACCCAACGTATGGGTACTGACTTTTGGCCCCCCCCCCCCCCCCCCCCCCCATATTTTACAATAGCACTGATGATCCTTGGCAAGTATAACTGGACAACTGTGAATAATCCTGCAGAATGTAATTGCAATACATGTATAATGTATAATGTATATAATATGTTGAGCATACAGCGGTAGTTACAGTCGTATTTACGTGTACATTGCAGTCTATACAGTTGTATATTCGATAGAATATTCAATTTGTCAAGGCAATATGTCCCACATCCATAATATAATAATATTATGGATATAATATTTATACATTATATAATATTTATACATTATATGCAGTTCAAGTAGTTGTCGAATTTGTGACGGCTATGTATTTTAACCAACCGTAAAACCCTAAAAAAAGGTTTATGCCTTTTAAATGGTTTATAATTCAACGATAGATGTGACCAGCATGAAATTTAAATAAGTGATACAAAAACACAAAACCCACCAGGTTTATTGTAAAAAGGGAATAGATCCTCAGATAAAAACACAAAACCCACCAGGTTTATTGTAAAAAGGGAATAAGTCCTCAGATTCCGACTTTTTCTTGCTAGAAGCATCATTGCTGCTGTAATTCTTGCTGATAAGTTGTAGGGCACTGGGCTGTGTTAGAGTAGGAGGTGTTCTGGATGCTGCCGCTTCTAGCACATCTGTATTAGACTTTAACCTGATGTTTATAAATTATCAGTCATTTGACATGAAGTGAGACGATCGAGGAGTGAGGACCCGTACGGCGAAAAAGTTGCAAAATTGACTAAAATACAGTGTTTCAGGGTGGCCTAAAAGATACAGAACAAAAGCAAGAGTACAGAACAAAATCCATTATAAAGCTTCGTGAGAGTTGGTATCACTTACTTTGGAACAGTAAAAGTGGAGAGTATGCCTGATATTCCTGAACCATCTATCTTTTTTCTCTTGCGCATGCGGTCCCCATCGTTCATCTGATACGTCTTGCGGGAGGCAGCACTGTTAGTGTTACTGCTGCTACTTGTGCGATACCATTCTGCCATTAACTGGGTTTCAATTGAAAGTTTTATAGGACCCAGCAATTAAACATCAAGTATGTGATGATTGATGAGTGTAAGTGACCGAGCAAGAAGCTATATAATATAATCAAAATAAAACTAAAGTCAGAATTACAAAAGTTTTGAAACTTTAATTTTCAATGTTGAGCCTAATATGTTAGGTGACCTTTCCTTAAAGTTTTATTATAGTGTAGCTACTCTCATGCTTTCCTATTGGGTTTTGGCTTTGTTGATAAATATAGGTAAAATTCAAATCGATCGAGATCATAATTAATACTTTAAGCACTGTATAATATGAAGCTGGGTAATCAAGTATACACTAAACAAATATTCAAAATAATAATTAAACTATATTTTTAATATTCAATAATGTTAAAAAACCATCGTCGTCTACCAATTAAAAGATTCATAACATTTGAAACATAATTGTGCTTTCAAAACAGATACAATAACAAAAAGCTACCATCGCATTAAAAAGACACCGCATGAACAGACAACAGTATTTAAAGGTAAACTTTTATTAGTAATTCAATGTGTCATAAGCTCACGAGTAGTAAAGGACAATATGAATATAAACGAGGAAGCCTTAGAAGCATTGACTTTAATTCAAGCCTGTCTGATAAATCTTAACATTAAATTGAACAGCACATTATTAATAATAAGTTAAGAAACCCGTAATTAGATTCATTATTCCAGTATTTCATAAATACTCATCGCGACGAAGACACGAGAAAGAGCAGATATCAATAATGAAACTCTTAAGAAAACAGTCCTATCCAGTAACTAACCCCTCTAGAGTTATGTATAGCTTGTGGGACTGGTGAACTGAGCCCCCACTCGTACCATACCTTAGTATCATCCACCACCCTCCAGAAATCCACCACAATCTTCTCGCCCTTCCGTACGAGAAGTGGGTGTTTGACGGGAAAGAACATGGGGAACCAGCTGAACATATCTTTAGAGTGGGTATCAGGATGGGTACTGATGTAAACATCCCGGTACAGCTTGGCGTCGAAATACCCCGCAAAACCGTGTAAAACTGTGTCCATGTCTGTGTTGAATTCCAATGATAAGTGCCGGGAATTGTCTACGACTGGGTCAGTGTTGGGGTGAACGAACTTGAAGCAAGGCTGTACTTTATCCAGCAAGTTAACAGCTTGCAAGCGAACAACATACCCCAAATGAAACGAATCCTCGTGAGAGCTTGATTCTGAAGCTTGGTTAGCAACGTTGTTGTAAAGCTTCCGAGAAGACATGGGGGCAAGATATGAGGTGTACTCACACGGGACACTCAAACCATCAGGTTTCATGAGGCGCTGTGCACCGTCCAGACATTCGGGAGATAACTCGTTATCACTGAACGAGCCCAGCAGCTCGCTTACCAAAATATCTGCTTTTTCGGGTGGTTCCCACTTTCTCATGTCGCTGTCTACTATCGTTACTTCCGAGAAAAAGGGGTCTTTTATAAGGTTACGTAGTATTATCAGAGCAGATTCGTTCTTCTCTACTGCATAGACCTGGGAAATTAAACTGTATACAAGAACTGTATAATCACATGTATTCTGTATAGCTAACCTTATTTGTTAATGGTGTAAAAACCAATCCATTTCAACTACCTTATATTCAGCTCACACAGTTGAGGAAAAATCTCGGAAATCCCAACCATTACCTACTATATATAACCTATAGTCTATAGTCATAGTTTTATAGTGTAACAATCTTGGCATCTCGCTGCCGGCCGAATTTAAGCGCTATCTTATCATCTGATAAAGATATCGTTATGTGACAAAGTTTACCTAGAGGATGAGACGATTATCCTAACCGTGGAAGGTTTATATAGTTTCACAGTGTGACAAATTTTACCTCATCGTGCCATTTATTAGGGCCACTAATATTTACCAATATCCTCAAACTTCAATGAACGTGTCCATATAAACTATAGTCTATAGCCTCAGCTTACTAACTTTGTTCAAATGTTCAACACACTAGCCGATAAAATACGGCAGTCAACTCCATGGCACGAAAGTAGTATATAATATTACACTAGACAGAACTCAACACACATTGACAAACTTGCACAGTGTACTTCCACAATACCACGCATACCTTGACTGGTATTTTGCTGCGACGAGAAGCGTTGAGGCTGGCTCTAACCAAAGGACCACGCCCTGCTCCGACCACCATCACCACCTGACTTGTTGGTTCTCCGCCTGGAACTGGGGAACCTGGAGAGGTAGAAACTGTTTGCTGCTAGAGATATATAATGATAGATAATAATGGGAATCTTACTTGTTGTCACAGCAGAGCTAAAGACTAAAGAAGTTAAGCTACTTTTACTTTTGGTAGCTAACGTTCGGCCCGGTGGTAATGAAACACGGTAAAATTACTTTTGATTTCTAAGCACAAACAAATATGTTGGGATAATTAGTTTAACATAAATCCTACATTATGAAGGATATATTAGGCAAAAGTGCTTACCTCTATCAAGGAGAATTTGATAAACAGCCTCCTCGTATTGCTTGTATTTTATGGGATCTTTTTCAAATATCTGAGGATCACAACGAAATTGGTTTAAAAAAGGAGTGCTGAATTATTATATAATACGAATTGTAAATTTAAGATCAGCTGTTATGGTTATGATTGAAAGCGTTTCTAATATAAAAAATAACAGACTTAGCTATAATTTAAGCTCAAATTTCTTTAATTATGGTTAAGGAATTTAACTACCTCATATGTTGAATTGTCCAAGTTATCCTTTAAAGGCTGTAAAGGGATTTGTAGCAATTCCTCGTATCCTCTAGAGAAGTCTTCATAAACAGACAGGGGTTCTTTATTCTCGTATAGATTATAGATATATTTCTGATATGCGTCCATACCCTTCCCGTGAAGATCTTCACCATGAATAACAACCTGCACCTTGTTCTTGAATGAAGTTGCTAACAGATTTTGGAACTCTCTTCTCAGTACTGGATATCCACATTTGTTGGAAACAAATAGTTCAGTAGAAATTGAGATACCCAATAAGACTTCAGAGTACCAACGCATCATGTCTCTTTCTGATGGAACCTTCTCTGTCAGCTCTAAAACTAGGCCAACTTTATTCTGACTTTCAGGAAGAAGCGAAAGAAAATTATTCCACTTGTTCCACTCATGATCTGAATCTTCACCAACTGCTAATCTGAACCACATTGGTCGACCATGCGACTCATGTAAGTGATAAGCACATAGCCTGGCCAGATTTGTGTTTTTATCATTGTTCAAGTTAAACATGACAGTATTCACACCAATGTAACATGCTAGCTTTAATGATTTTTTCAATAGGTTAACTGATTTTGAGCGCACTTCTGAATCAGCACTATCAACATTTACATTATCAGGCACAGCACCTATAACTTTTGATCCCCATTCAAAACCATAGTTGTAAATTTCAAGAGGTTGAAACTCGTAGTTTTTGTTTTTCTCAGAAAGAGGAACTGTAACAAAAGCAAACTTTTGAGTGTTGAATATATCAACATGATCGTTATCAATCTGTGAGATTGACTTGAACTCTATACCACAAATAGGGTCACTCATAGCTTTTGAAACCTGCAAACAACCTGTTAGTTAACTAGAAAACATCAAATTTGGATGGGAAGTGAGCTATGAAAAGAATTGAAAAGAGTGATACCATTGTCCATCAGCGGTTAACAGAAATGAGATTGAAAATTAAGGTGGCCTCTAAAAGAGGATTGAGATCTTCCAGTCTCTTTGGCAACCAGTCAACGCGCAGTATTTCATGATTAAAATTTATATAATTTATCTCAGGAGCTTAGTTAATTCAGCAATATCAATATCAAATAAGCTATCAAATGAATTGTAAAATATAAATTCAGTTTGATGAAGATTTAGAAATTAAGAAAAGTTAAGACGTGGAAGATTGATCTTGTGGCAAAATTTGTGGGTTCTTGGAGGTCAGTACGTAAGTGTAACTCTATTGGGCACGACACTTAAACTGCATTCACCAAAATTGATCCTCATAGGGTTTTTAAGAGATTGTTTTGAAATTTTGCAGGAATTATAGATAGGAGTTTAATAAGCGAGAATTTGTAGAGGGTCCAATGAGGAGCCCTTTCAAGATCTAGTATCTAATAAGGATACTCATCTGTACATTTACATGATTTGTGGTGTAGTGTAATGATGTAGTGAATTCTCAATTGTCTCATGCTATACCTGTCTGGGGTGGCTATGATGCTAATTAAAGAGAACAATGCAATATACACATAATATAACAATTACCCTATATAAAAATTCAATATAAATTCAATAGAAAACTAAATAAAATATATAAACACCCTTTAAGTAGTATAAGTAAGCCAGTTTAAAGAACTGGCTCCAGATTTATATCTAATTCTGCTATTTTTACTGCACTACTACTTTTTAACCCTCTCTCTCCTCTTAGAGCTATGACTGTTGTTCTCAATAGGTCAAATCTTACTCTCTTCCTAATAAATGTCATTGACTCACTATATCGTTGGCCTGATTTCCTAGATAGTTTATCCGCTAATTTCTTGAAGAACTGATTAGCTTCCCTTCCCATACCCCCAGTGGTTGATAGGACTATCGGTGTAAACGTCCCATGTTCCACTTCTACAATACTTTTATTGTATAAATTCTTTTTCTGTCTCTCGTGGCTATTGTACATAGTGGTTGGAGATCCAAGAGCCTTATTGGAAGGAGCTTGAGCATGAAATACTCTTACATCTAAAAATGCCCTTTCCAATGGGTTTCATACACTCCTAGCACTAACATCTAATCTAGCTCCATCTGCTTTGTTGGCCCCTGCAGGAAGTTCTCTCCCGTTGACAGGAATGAGGAGAGGTTCAGTGGTAACATCTTTACAGCCAGCAGTGTCTAATAGCTCTGCTATCACATCCCTCAATGAGTTGTGGCGAAGAGATACATATCCACCCCTTTTGCATATTAATGAGTGGTTTATTGAGTTGTCACTTCCACATACACATTTTCTTGCAGCATCTTTTATCCCGAAGTTGTACCTTAGGGCTAGGGCATCATTGAATTCTTGCTTGTTGAGACAGAATCCGAATGATTTGAGCGGGAGTGACGAAAGCCAGGAACTTGCCCCTTTCTCTGATGTAAGATCTAATTGCAATTTTTGGGTTTCATTCAGGTCTTTTGTAACCTCTTCTGATGCTAATTAAATGACTCACTACACCAATTATTTTGTCTATAGGAAAAGGCTTTACGCAACCTGTTCGCAATTAAGAAAGTTTCAAGATTCGTTATAAAGGGTCACACAAAGGAGGTTTTCAGTAAATATAATATGCTCACTGTGTACAATATCTATATGGTTACATGGCAATTTTACTTTCAATCTAAAACAAAGGAGCCAAACTAAAAATTTGTCCGCGGCTAGCATGCTCAGCTTTTAAAATCAGAATCAGTATAATGCAATATTTTTTTTTTAAAAAAGGGGGGGACCCCCAACCCATGTAGCTGATACACCTCACAGCAAGTAGACCAAAGTGGCTCTTGCTTGTGAAGGGTGTATCAACTACCCGCCGAGGCGGTGAGTATAATAGGCCTCCCCCAGCCTCGGATCTTAGGATTGGATTTGCAAAAATTCATAAGACAAACTGCTTAAGAAAAGCTAAGACTGCAAAAAAAGCTGAGACAAAATTTAAGCGAACCTGAGATGTCAAAAGCTGAAGCTTTCCTTATACTTGCTGGAGTTATGCAGGGAGATACACTGGCGCCCTACCTCTTCGTGATTGTCATTGACTATGTGATGACAACAGCACTTAGAGGCAAAGATCTGGGCTTCACTGTCAACCCCAGAAGAAGCAGGAGATACCCAGCAGTTAAGATGACAGATGTCGACTTTGCTGACGATCTTGCACTGACAACAGACACCGCAGAGCAAGCGCAAGATCTTCTCCTCAGTGTGGAGCTGGCTGCTAACTCCGTTGGACTTCACCTCAACGAGAGTAAGACGAAGTACATCAGAGTCAATCTCTCTGAGTCTGACTCTACCGTCATTAAAGCAGCAAGTGGGCAGGAGATAGAGCAAGTAGATGACTTTGTCTACCTTGGAAGCAGAATAATGAGTGCGGAGAAGGACTTTGATGTTAGGAAAGCAAAGGCATGGGGGGCCTGTCATCAGTTAAAGACAACCTGGAAGTCTGGAATGCGCAGGGACTTAAAGATCCGTGTCTTTCGAGCAACGGTTGAGCCCGTACTCCTGTACGGCTCTGAAGCTTGGACGATAAGCCAATCCATGACTAAGCGGATCAATGGATGCTACACTAGAATGCTCCGGATGGCCTTGAACATACGTTGGCCACAAATCATCAACAACAGTGATTTATACGGCAACATCCCCAAGCCATCAGCGATGATAGCCTCCAGAAGAATGAGACTGGCTGGACATGTAGCCAGGCATGACGACCTTCTGGCAAACCAACTTCTGTTCTGGGACCCTCAGCATGGATACAGGAGACCGGGGAGGCCCCACCTTACGTTTCTGGACATGCTAAAGAAGGACACCAGCCTTTCCTGTGTTGAAGAGATAAGATCTGTTATGCTTGACCGCGATGTGTGGCGAGGAATTGTAGTTGCTCGGACCAAGAAGCCGACTTAAGTCAGTAAGTCAGATGTCAAAATAACCTAAGACAGCGAAAAATCCTGAGACAAAATTTAAGAAATCCCAAGACAGCGAAAAATCCCGAGACAAAATTTAAGAAATCCCGAGACAGCGAAAAAACCTGAGACAAAATTTAAGAAATCCTGAGACGCGCGAAAAAACCTAAGACAAAATTTAAGAAATCCCGAGACAGCGAAAAATCCTGAGACAAAATTTAAGAAAACCTGAGACAGCGAAAAATCCTGAGACAAAATTTAAGAAAACCTGAGACAGCGGAAAATCTTTAGATAGAATTTATACAATAACCACAAGAATATACAATATGGATATTACATCTTTTTATTTCTTTCAAAGAATATAATAAATACAATATTACTAGGTATAGTAGGAATGTCAATAAGTCAATAGAATTTGTCTAAAATCTCTATGTGCCTGCTAATGAAGTGAGTATCCTAGATCATATCTTTACAGGTAGGACTGTATAATGGGGGCCCCGATGTTATATAGCGGACATCATCCCCCTCCCTCCTTATGCCCCTTCTGAAAAGCTACAAAGTTAAGGCCAGAGGGGGGGGGGTAAGGGGTCAAAAAATTCTACCAAAATATTATTTTCTAAATCGATTTAATTTTTGATGACAAAAACATTGCTGCTATTCACATATTTGTAGCTGATTAACTTTATTTTATAATTGAGGTTAACCGATTTTCACAAAATTGACTATACAACATTGAGGTTAATAAAATTGAGGTTCATATTTTATTACACGCCATAATTTTTTGTTATTTCGGTCAGCAAATGTGAACTCTAAATTTTAGGTTCATAACTATCAGAAAAAGTAATATCCAAACGTGATTAAATGAGGTTAACCTCTTCTTTTAGATATAGCGAGAATAGATCAAATGATAGAGTTATTATTTTCATCGTAAGTTTACGGTATACACATTTCTAAATAGATGATGTGTTGATTGACTTTCTTTTATCTTGAGAAAATGAAAAAAATGAGGTTAACCATCACATTTTGGTACCGTAGGGAATATACATACGATTCTTACTTATGTAATGTACCACAATATCGAAGTGAGGTATCTATTGGTATCACAATGCCTACAACTATTATTACGTGACAAAGGTGATTTGAACTGACCATATTTTAGTAGAAGATTTTACCCGTAAATGGCTGAAAAATGAGGTTAACCTCTAATTTTTTGAATATCTGACCAGTCAATTACATGTTAACCTCAAAAACTTAATCGTTATACTGTGCAAATGTTTTACTACATATATAATAACATATTGATAAACCGATCCCAGTGTTATATGGTCTAAAGCGAGGTTAACAACCAAATTTTAAGCAGTTAGTGTTTACAGGAAGTCTTGGTTAACCTCATTTTTTACAATACAAGGACATTAATTACTGAAAGTGGCTAAAATCAATTAGGGGACGGCCAGGTCTGATCAAGCAAACGTTATTAAGTGTATAAAAAGTCCTAACTAACGAACTGTGATACATTCCAGTGAATATTCAAAATTTTGAAAACACTAAATTACATCTATCTCAAAACACATTTTTTGACCTTTCGATTCCTTAGTTGAGAAAACCAGCCACCCCCTGATATTGAGATTTGGTACAGTGGTTCCTTGGACAACTATCTAGATATCTGGTGCAGCGATGTTTTTTTATTTGACTCAGTTCTCGAATTATGAGGTTAACCAATTAAATTTTTCGAATTTTTGACCTGGTTAACCTCATAATTTGAGAACAGAGTCAAATAAAAAAAATCGCTGCACCAGATGTGAGGATAATTGTCCAAGGAACCACTGTACCAAACCTCAAGATCAGGGATTGGCCGGTTTTCTCAACTAAGGAATCGAAAGGTCAAAAAAGTTACAGCCGTTTAAAGATCCAGTTTAACATGTAATTACAGGTAAACCTCAAAATTGAGCGCACAAT